TGATGGTCCATGCAGTCAGATGTTTGCCACTCCTGCACCCCTCATCCTCTGCTGCAGTAGATGTGTTGGGTGGCATTGAAGACACTTGAGAAGTTAAAATACATGATTCTCACAGTGAATTTTTGCATCTCGAGGTGATTCAGAGCCCAGTGCTGCAGGTAGATGAGGGGGTCCTACACCCCCACGTTTGGTTAATGTGCTAATTGCAGTGGGTCTTTTTCTGCAATACTTTTATTTTGAAAAATACAGGGAATTTAGACTGAAACTGTGTGTGATTTCCTGTCTAGCCCTATGTTAACTGAGGTAACTGACATATCCCAGAAGCGGCTCGTGGCAAGTGTAGCGTCATGAATGTCCTGTTTTTGACCTTAAGGTCATGATCTGCTGCGTCTGCTCGAGCAAAGACATAAAGTCTCTGACAGCCTAATCTACATGAGATAGTGGCCAAGGTCTTTCATGCACTCTGCTCATCTGAACTGCTTCACATCTGTTACAGCTCAAGACGAAGACGAAGAACTATTTTGATAAACACATAATCAACAACTTCGTTAATTACCAATAATAATGTGAGCCCAATGTTCAATCAGTCTGTGAAATGACAATGTTATTACTTGAGATTATAATCCTGTGATCAGTAGTATTTTAGAAGTTATTATAATCCTGGACATTTGCACTAGACACTGATGACATGTAATGCTAAAGTCACACAACACATTTCCTTTTGTCTGATCCAATCAGAACCTTCATTTCTGACACGAGGCGTGGTTTTCTGTGATGTTTGTATAAACCCTCTTTTGCATGTCAAATTCTGATTCACCAGTAAACCAAAATATGACATTTATAAAAACTATCCCACGCCACCTTTTCTTTAGTTCAAAGCGTTCTAGAGAAGTCTCGGACAGGCCATCCGGACTTCCTCTTCAGCCAACAAGAACCTCGACAAGCTGGATAAAATCTGTTGCAAGTTACACCTGACCTCAACGGTTCCTTCAGAATAAAAGCTGAACCTCACGACCCCTTCAGGGTCTCGGAGACACCAATGAACCTGACATGATCTGGAAGCATTCCAAAACTAGTTTGGTCGGCACCGCTGCTTTTCTACCGGCTTCGGTTCCAGGGAGGGTCCAAGAGGACCTCGACATTCTGGATCTATCAGAGGCTTCCCCTGGGGTACGACCGACAGATGGCGTTTCATGTGTGTTATAAATCTCCTACAAAAGTTTAGCGTGAAACATTCACTCCCACTCAGAACTAAATGCTTCTCCGGATCTTAAGATTCTGATAATAACATTCCACACACACACCATCATCGTTCATCACGTCTCACTCCACCTTAGTCCATCAGTACACAGAGTGTTAAAGTTAGTCTTGTTTAAATTGTGTAGAAATAAAGTTCTTAACTATTATAAACCTGACTCTCTCTCTTTCCTCGGAGTTAATACGAAGTGTCGCTTGAACCCTGCAATAAAAAGTTCTGATATTCTGGTTAAAATATTCAAAGATCCATCAGACTGCTATTTCATATTTCTATGGAATCTCACATTTTATGGTTCATAAGTAAGATGTAAACGACCCATCCTTTACACAAGAAACAGAACCCGACCTTATCTTCAGCAGCGCGGTGCGGCGTGCCGCTTCTGGGATGCGTCTGAAAATTAGTGTGGTGTGGGGTGAAGTATTGTGAGCCTTTGAGGGTGTGTGTGTGTATGTGTGTGTGTGTGTGTGTGTGTGTGTGTGTGTCTGTAAATGATTGTTGTAATGTTTAGATTTTTGCTCTGCTGTCTTGCTCTTAATTTGTGTTCTTTTTGTTGTAAAGGAGGACCCACTCGAAAAAGAGATGTTTCATCTCAAGTGGTTATTCCTCCGTATAAAATTATGTTTAAAAAAAATTAATAAATCTGAAGAAAAACCTCTGAAGATGCCTACAGGTTACGGGAGATAATGTGAACTAGATGCGAGTTGTCCTCACGTCGTTAAGAGGACTAGCTGGACTTGTATTATTCACGAGTCACAACGAAAAACAAAAGTTCAGCTGAAAACATTTATTCAGATCAGAACAGGAAGTAGAAACAGGCCCACAAGTTAATAATCCATTCTCAACACCATCTTCAGACAGCTGAGAGGTTCAGTGATGTTTGAAAGGTTTAGTTTGATCAACAGATGAAGCGGAAGCTTGTTTAACATAAAACCTGTTGGATATTTTCACTTCTAGGCCTTTTTTAGCTCTCCAGGGTGTGTTTGTCAAACAGGTACTCGGCCATCTTGTTGGTGTTGGCATCCATCTTGGTCAGGTTGGTGATGTGATCACCAAGCTTCTTGATGGCTTCCACCTGCTTGTTCAGGTAGTGGCTCTCCAGGAAGTCACACAGCTGGAAATCAAATGGAATTCTCTTTAAAAATCCAGAAACTGTGGTAAAACGTCAAATTCTAGATTAATCACTTCAGGTCAAACTTACATGAGGGTCTTTGTGATCAGAGGCCTGCTTGTGCAGATCCAGAAGAGCCTGGTTGACGTTCTTCTCCAGCTGCAAAGCACACTGCATGGCCTCCAGGCCAGTTCCCCACTCATCACGCTCTGGTTTCTGCAACAACAACAATGGAGGATTATGTATAAGCCATCATGCAAGAACAGGAGTTTAACATCAGAAAGTAGCAGACTGGGTGTGTTTGGGCTCACCTTTACATCCTGGAGGAAGACACGTCCTCCCCGCTTGTTCTGAAAGGACAGCAGCTTCTCAGCATGCTCCCTCTCCTCGCTGCTGTTCTCCTTGAAGAAATGAGCAAACCCTGGAAGGGCTACATCATCACGGGAGAAGTAGAAGGCCTGTTGGGGGAGGTTGGACCGCAGAAAAGCTCTTATGAGGACAATTTACCATCTCTGTCAGGAATAAACTGCAGTAGTGATAGCTGAGCAGACTCCTCTGCTGCCACCTACAGGAACCTTGCAGCAGCTGCAGGCATGAAATCTGGTCTGCAAACATTCAGTTTGCAAGACAAAAATGCATCTGTGACCTTGTTACTTTCACTTGGTCACCAAGTGCTGAGCATTGATTCTTTAGTGCTGAAGAGATGTTCCTGTGATGTAGTTTCTTACCATGGAGGTGTAGGTGTAGGAGGCAAACAGCTCCAGGTTGACCATCTTGTTGATGGCGGCCTCACAGTCGCGGTGGTAGTTCTGACGCACCTGAGACTCCATTTCTGCTGCTGGTTTTGAGGCTGAAGGTCGGCTGAAAACACAAAACAATGATGTCCCTTCACGGTTGTAGCAAGAACTCCTTCAGACTTCGGTCCCCGGTGTGAGATATTAGCGAAGGGCTTCTTGTATTTATGCACCACAGCAGGTATCCTGACAGGTGCAACATCACTGTACATTTCAGCCAATCAGCAAGTGAGAAAACGCTGTAACAAAAGCCGATGAAGTCATTAAATTTCCATGACCCTCCTCACCTCAGTTCTTGGGATTTAGTGTTGAAACTTTTTCAGGGCTGTAATCTGACCTGCTGACAGTCAGGATGATAAGGGATTTGTAGCGTCTCACAAAGGGAAAATCTCAAATACGTTTAATTTGTAGCCTAAGTCTGATGTTTGACTGACTTAAATGATGCTGCTAATTGTGTAGAAACCATGTGTGTTTTCTTTAAACTAGCCTGCAACTTTTCTTCTAGAGCACTCGTGGAGCTGGTGTCTACAAAATAAGATTTACACTATCCATACAGCTTCACATGGAGCAAATATAATTGAGTCTAATTCACACCAGCTCTGGATTGACCTTCAAAAAGTTTCTGCATAGAGTCGATTTTTTTCTAGACGTTATTAAGTTAAAGAAATTACATGACAGGAAGTGAGATGTATTTATTTGAGGTGCACCAGGTATATTTCAGAATAAAACCTGTTTTGCATTATTTTTGCCACCTTTAGTTTTTTTTTAATTAACGATGGAGATATCAGTTCAGTTCATGATATTTTTAGCCTATATTCTTAAACATGTTATATCAAATTTCTAATCATTGGTGCTCTTGTGTGAGCAGATCTATGGAGACAAACCGCAGTCGGTGTGAATGGAAGTCCGTCTGGAAGATGTTATCGGTGTGAAACGGGCTTTAGAGGAGAAATTCTAAAACCAAATCAGGGGTTTCAGCAGAATTATCAAAGTGTGTGTTTGTGTGTGCATGCATGTGCATGTGTGTGTGTGTTCCAGAAGACCAAACCTCCATCTGAGAGACCAAACACCTTCTAAATTAACTGTTTTTACCTTTACAGGATCATTTCGGTCTTTAGTTGTCATGAACATCTGCCGCCATATTCGACTACATCAGCTGAAATGATTAGATTTACCCTCAAAGTTCTGTTTTGTCAACAATCAGCATGAAAGCAGCTGGATTTGAAGCACGTGTGGGCTGTCAGGATGACGTCTGACTTCATTTATGGTCAGCTGCCACAGCAGCAGAATGCTGAGTCACAACAATGACACAGCACCATGTGGTGGTTCTGTTTCTGTAATGAACCATGTGACATGACTCTGCAAAAACTTAACATAAGTGCTGAATCACTCTGTGGATGTTAAATCTGACCCAGCTTTTTCATGTTTTAGTCTTTTATAACATTTTAGATTTGGGCACACAAAATATCAACATCAAAAACCAGAGGTGGGGACTCGAGTCACATGACTTGGACTCGAGTCAGACTCGAGTCGTTATTTTAATGACTGCTGACTTGACTTGATAAAATCTATAAAGACTTACGACTTGACTCGGACTTGAACGTCAATGACTTGCGACTTGAATCGACTTGCATCTGTTGACTCGATGATGACTTGAGCATATTTGATATTTTAGCACAAAAGTGGCCCGACATGGACAAAAACCATGAATCATTCTTCGTTCTGGGTTTGTTCTGCTAAATGCAGCAGCACTTTGTTTGGAATCAGATTCAGTTGCACTTTCTGCTTGTTTGAGCAAATAAATGAAGCTTTAATTCTGGAATTTATTTATTATACTGGCTTTATCACAGCATTTCCCAAAGTTGGGGTCATGACCCCACTGTGTGTCACGTCTTGAGATGATTTCCGGAAATCAAAATGAATAAATGAAAGTGAAAAACAATTGCTGAAGCTTCTAGCATTGTCTTAAAAAACTAATCTAAATTGTCATGAATGGATGTGAGTGACCAAAGTGACAATGTGTCGTTTTTACCATTAATCTCATTAATCTCTGAAAATATCCATCAAATGTGGTTGAAGGTGAACCAAATGATGCCCAGTTGTTGAAAATATTGGTGGCTTCGTAGCATATAACGATAAATGTACATGGGTGCGGGTCTAAGTCTCTGGGTGAATTAGATATATTGTTTCTTTCTACAGGAGCCTGTGAGGACAAAACACATTTACTGACTTCTAACAAGCAGTTACAAAACTTTCGCCATTCATAAACGTGGTTTTACACATTTACCCTTTTCGCTCGTTGCCAGTGATGAAAGGGTGTCTGGGGTACCATCATTTCTGTCCAGGCCTTGAGTGCTTTTTTTATTGAAAAGCAATATCTATCTTTCATTGGTTAAATATATTTTGTATGTATTATTAAAAATATTTTAAATTTTTGTTAATTTTGTGACCATTGCAGGTTTCTTTTTTTCCAGTGAGTGAAGGGCACTAACAATTTTGCCCACATCCATGTTTCTCTGTTGGTTCAGATAAAGAAGCTTTTAGTGTTATTTTGGTGAGACACCAGCTACATGAGCACTCTAGGAGAAATGGTGCAGGGTAACTTAAAGAAAACACTCATGTCTTAAATGTTTTATTTTTCTACACAATTAGCAGCATCACTTAAGGCATTTACACGTCAGGTCAGATACACCCTCATATTTAGGCTTGAAATTAAATTTCATTCAACATATTTGAGTTTTTCGCTTTGTGAGACGCTACAAATCTATTGTCATCCTGACTGTCAGCAGGTCAGATTACAGCCCAGAAAAACTCTCATTTCCAAGAACTGAGGTGAGGAGGGTCATGTAAATTTAATGACGTCATCAGCTTTTGTTACAGATTTTACTCTCTGATGAGTTCCTCTCTTGCTGATTGGCTGAAATGTTGCAAACGTTGCACCTGTCAGGATACCTGCTGCGGTGCATAAATACAGGAAGCTCTTGGCGACCATCTCACACCGGTGAACAAAGCCTCAAGGAGTTCTTGCTTCAACAGTGTTTGAACGGAACGTCGTTGTTTTCCGCCGACCTTCAGCCTCAAAACCAGCAGCAGAAATGGAGTCTCAGGTGCGTCAGAACTACCACCGCGACTGTGAGGCCGCCATCAACAAGATGGCCAACCTGGAGCTGTTTGCCTCCTACACCTACACCTCTATGGTAAGAAACTACATCTACGTGCCGTTACGACTTACTGGAGATGTTTTGGTTGCTCAGAAATCAGAATTAGGTATGACAATGTTAACCTGTTTTAGTTACTGACATGTAAATAACTCAACCTGGATAAGGATCTCTTCCTACTGTGACATCACAGGAACATTTGTCTCTTCAGCACTAAAGAATCAATGCTCAGCACTTGGTGACCAAGTGAAAGTAACAAGGTCACAGATGCATTTTTGTCTTGCAAACTGAATGTTTGCAGACCAGATTTCATGCCTGCAGCTGCTGCAACGTTCCTGTAGGTGGCAGCAGAGGAGTCTGCTCAGCTATCACTACTGCAGTTTATTCCTGACAGAGATGGTAAATTGTCCTCATAAGAGCTTTTCTGCGGTCCAACCTCCCCCACCAGGCCTTCTACTTCTCCCGTGATGATGTGGCCCTTCCAGGGTTTGCTCATTTCTTCAAGGAGAACAGCAGCGAGGAGAGGGAGCATGCTGAGAAGCTGCTGTCCTTTCAGAACAAGCGGGGAGGACGTGTCTTCCTCCAGGATGTAAAGGTGAGCCCAAACACACCCAGTCTGCTACTTTCTGATGTTAAACTCCTGTTCTTGCATGATGGCTTATACATAATCCTCCATTGTTGTTGTTGCAGAAACCAGAGCGTGATGAGTGGGGAACTGGCCTGGAGGCCATGCAGTGTGCTTTGCAGCTGGAGAAGAACGTCAACCAGGCTCTTCTGGATCTGCACAAGCAGGCCTCTGATCACAAAGACCCTCATGCAAGTGTGACCTGAAGTGATTAATCTAGAATTTGACGTTTTACCACAGTTTCTGGATTTTTAAAGAGAATTCCATTTGATTTCCAGCTGTGTGACTTCCTGGAGAGCCACTACCTGAACAAGCAGGTGGAAGCCATCAAGAAGCTTGGCGATCACATCACCAACCTGACCAAGATGGATGCCAACACCAACAAGATGGCCGAGTACCTGTTTGACAAGCACACCCTGGAGAGCTAAAAAAGGCCTAGAAGTGAAAATAACCAACAGGTTTTATGTTAAACAAGCTTCCGCTTCATCTGTTGATCAAACTAAACCTTTCAAACATCACTGAACCTCTCAGCTGTCTGAAGATGGTGTTGAGAATGGATTATTAACTTGTGGGCCTGTTTCTACTTCCTGTTCTGATCTGAATAAATGTTTTCAGCTGAACTTTTGTTTTTCGTTGTGACTCGTGAATAATACAAGTCCAGCTAGTCCTCTTAACGACGTGAGGACAACTCGCATCTAGTTCACATCATCTCCCGTAACCTGTAGGCACCTTCAGAGGGTTTTCTTCAGAATAATTTTTATTTTTTTTAAACATAATTTTATACGGAGGAATAACCACTTGAGATGAAACATCTCGTTTTCAAGTGGGTCCTCCTTTACAACAAAAAGAACACAAATTAAGAGCAAGACAGCAGAGCAAAAATCTAAACATTACAACAATCATTTACAGACACACACACACACACACACACACCCTCAAAGGCTCACAATACTTCACCCCACACTACACAACCCCAACTAACAAGGACAAAACAAAAGCAACAGCCAGCTGAACAAATACAGTTAGTAACATATAGACAATTATTCCTGAAGATGATCGACCAGAGCCCTTCGAAAAGTAGTGAATGATGATAAATAACGAATAGACAAAGGAAGATTATTCCAGTCACATGGAGCCTTAAAACCAAAAGCATGCATCCCTACCTCTCTTTTCACTCTAGGAACAACAAAAAAGAGCTGGTCCTTATGCCACAGGCTGTAAAGTGAATTACAGGGAATTAAATGTGTTTTTAGATAATCCGGATAATTCAAGTAAAAAGTTTTTAAAATGAACTGAAACAAGTGAAACTGTCTCCTGACAGCAGATGTGAACCAGGACAACTGTCGATACATCACACTTCTATGTGTCCTAGATGGACAACGAAGAACAAAACGACAGAGACCATTATAAGCAACATCAATAGAGTGCAAGCAGGAGGATGAAGTGTTCAGATAGATGATGTCAGCACAGTCCAGAACAGGCAGAAGCAGCTGTGTGGCGATTCTTTTCCTAACCAGAAAGTTAAAACAATTAACAGATTGATAAAGGAACATCACACGAAAGGAAATGCATCTCACGTGTAGCAAAGTAGAAATGCACCTAAAATGGAACAATTTCTGGACGGAAATGACAGGAAATGTGAGCTTAGAGGTGGTGAGCGCATGAAGAGGTGGAGGAGAATGAGACAAATTTGTCCGTGTTAAAGTTTCTTATATACTATATATATATATATATATATATATATATATATATATATATATATATATATATATATATATATATATATATAAACACACTATCTTGGACCGGATACATGACAGGATACAACAGAACAGCGCTTCGCCCTCTGTTGTCCTGGCAGGGAATTGCTTTGCAACACGCCCCAGGAGACGGAGAAGTATGAGGGCAAAATGTCTCCGTCCATCCGTCCGTCCACGCGTGTCTCTCCCTGTTGGAGCTGAAGGAGAAATATAAATATCTCTACAAACCTAAAGTAATCAGAACAATTTTTTTAACTTTACACCTGTCTGGGATGTGTTGGCCAGACTTATCCACAAAGAGGCACCATTTACTTTTAGCCTGAGGTTAAAGCAGAACTTCTCCTGCCAGTGTAATAAACTCAGAACAAACCCTGTAGATGAGAAGAACGCCGACAGCTGGTGCACACGTGCGTCAGAAACTCTGATTTGATTCAAGCATCTTTTTATCTTCACTTCTAGTTTTGTAAACATGTGAAGAAAACCTTCCTGAACGACTCAAATAAAATCCCCACCAATAATCCGGTTTTCCTGTCAGAGCTGGAATCTAACAAAGGTCAATAAAAACCTGCCGTTTCATTTCTGTTCTGAGGAAAATCTCTTATTGAAACGTTTTCTGTTAAATTGAAAGAAAAAGCACTGAAAGAGTTTGTTTGGACTTTAATGCTGAGTCTATTTTATTTAGATAATCTCTAAAGGCTCAGTTCTGAGATAAATCTGACTTGCCCACGCGTCGCTGTGTAAGAATATCGTGTCATCAGCAGTTTGATTCTAGTCCAGATGGTTTTTTGTTGTGGTTTGAAATTTCTTCGCGGTCACATGTTTATCCAACAAATTTAATAAATTTGAATTGCATTTTTTTTTAAAAATCTCTTATGACTTTGTTTTTGTTGAATAAATGTCTCCCAGACGTTTTATTGAAACAACGAGATCCTTTTATTTTAAAAATCTAAATAATTTCAACTAATTTAAAGCTTTCTCATTGTTTTTAATTTATTATGTCCATCTATCCATCTATCTATCTATCATCTATCATCTTGTCACGATGCGAGCAAGGAGGTGGTTAGGACCCAAAATGCAGATACCCAGGATGACACGAGGCAGGAGTGAAAATTAAGAAAATCCTTTATTTAGGATGAAACAAAATAATCCAAAGGGAAGGAAGCCAAAAAACCAAAAATCCAGATAATGATCTGGAGATCCAAAAACACGAGAGACTCAAGAGAAACTAATAACCCTAGAGATCCTAAGCGAGACGAGACTGACAGAACAAAACATCAATGGACCAACACAATACTGG